CTCGGGTGATCCACCCGCCTCAGCCTCCCAAAGTGCTGGGATTATAGGTGTGAGCCACTGCGCGCAGCCTGCAATTGAGGTTTTAATGGCAGAAACCACAATTACTTTTGCACCACCCTAATATAAAGACACAATTATCCTCCCCATTTCCAGATAAAGAACCTTTGCCTGGGACAGGTGTACCTGGAACAGTCAGGTTTTGGTTTTGAACTCAGTGCGTGATTTCCCCCCAGGTCAGTAGGGGGCACTATTGTGTAGGGGTGGAGAGGAGGGGCAGAGGTTAGGATGGCTCAGAGTGCACAATTCAAAGTTGCCTGGGGCCACTGTAGGCACAGAGGCAGGGGCCAGGGCTGACTTTAAGGCCAGCTCCTTCTGCAGTCTAAGGAGTGGATCAGAAGGGACCAGCACCTGGTGAGTGCTCTGCTTGAACCATCTTTTTTTTTTTTTTTTTTTTTTTTTTTTTTGAGATGGAGTTCTGCTCTTGTTGCCCGGGCTGGAGTACAATGGCACGATCTCAGCTCACTGCAACCTCCACCTCCCAGGTTCAAGTGATTCTCCTGCCTCAGCCTCCCTAGTAGCTGGGATTACAGGCATGTGCCACCACGCCCGGTGAACTTTTGCATCATAGAGACGGTGTTTCGCCATGTTGGCCAGGCTGGTCTCGAACTCCTGACCTAAAGTGATCCACCCGCCTCGGCCTCCCAAAGTGCTGGGATTACAGGCGTGAGCCACCGCCCCCGGCCTGGGAGCTTTCTATTGCATTATAGTGGAGCCCTCAGGACATTATAGCTGTTCTGGGGGAGCCTGGGTGACAGTCTAAGAGGGTCTAATAGGTCCCTGGGGACATGAGAGCAGGATCCCAGGGAAGGAAACGGTGTAGTCAGGGCTCACTAGAGCAGAACCCTGAGGATCTGATGCAAGTCAGCCAGCTGATGCTATAAATGGGCTCCGGAGACATCGCAGGACCCCAGGGCATCTGGAAGGGTTTCCCAGGTGGCACTAAGGGGCCTTGAGGCCTTTTTCTTTTTATTTTTCTTTAGGGTCTCGCTCAGTCATCCAGGCTGGAGTGCAGTAATGCAATCATGGCTCACTGCAACCTTGACTGAGGCCTTTTTCTTCCATGGCAGGAAGGAAGGCTATGATGAGGAATGTCTAGGCAGACCCCTGGCAGGCCTCCTGGCTAAAGTCCCAGGCCATTATAACAGCAAGGAGAGGAGATCAGAATGGGGCAAGGAAAGACACTCCAGATGACCATGGCCGGCTGAATCATGGCCTCAAAGATGTCCATGCCCTCATCCCCCAAACCTCTGACTATGGCCTTATATGGGAAAAAAGGACTTTGTGATGTGATTAGGTTAAGTTTAGATGGGGAGATGATCTGGATTATCCAAGTGGCCCTAAACACAATCACAGGACTCCTTTGGAGAGGGAGGCAGGCGGGTTGGTGTCAGAGAGAGAAGACGTGAGGACCAACATAAGGGTCAGAAAGGGGGAGAAGATGCCGTACGCTGGCCTTGAAGATGGAGGAGTGGGCCACGAGCCAAGGAATGCTGGTAGCCTCTAGAACCTGGGAAAGGCAAAAACACTGATTCTTCCTGGAGCCTCCAGAAATAACACAAAACGGCTGGGCACGGTGGCTCATGCCTGTAATCCCAGCACTTTGGGAGGCGAGGCAGACGGATCACGAGGTCAGGAGTTTGAGACCAGCCTGGCCAATATGGTTGAAACACCGTCTCTACTAAAAATACAAAAATTAGCTGGGCGTGGTGGTGGGCACCTGTAATCCCAGCTACTTGGGAGGCTGAGGCAGGAGAATCACTTGAACCCAGGAGGCGGAGGTTGCAGTGAGCTGAGATCACACCACTGCCCTCCAGCCTGGGCGACAGAGCCAGACTCCATCTAAAAAAAAAAAAAAAAAAAGAACACAAGACCTGTGAGTATCATAGGTGGTCCAAGGAGCTTTACAATTGTCATGGTAATGTTACAGCAGGGCCCTGGGGACATGAGAACTAAGGCTGGGTTATAGAGGACCCCACAGTGATGGTAGTCAGACTTCCAGGAAAAGCATAAGCAGGCTCCTGAGGGACACCGTAACAGGGCATTGAGGACTCTGTCAGGGTCCAAGGAACCTTAGAATGGGGCCCAGTGGAAGGCGGAGCTTGAAGTGAGCCGAGATCACGCCACTGCACTCCAGCCTGGGTGACAAAGCGAGACTCCGTCTTAAAAAAAAAAAAAAAAAAAAAAAAAAAAAAAAAGGGGCCCAGGGGCTGCTGGAACAGTATCCTGAAGACATTACAGGATCCCAAGGAAACTAGAAGGGACAGCTAAGGGCAGGGCAGGTGCCTCAGGGCATTTTGGGGAAGAGCTGAGGATGCTGTAATTAGGATTCTTAAGAAGTTAAAGCAGGTTCCCTCTGTTTCTTAGGAGTGGACCTCGGCGTGGGTGTCACTGGATCTTCTAGTAGGACACAGGGAGAATCAGAAAAATGAACACATTCCAGACAAGGAGAACAGAGACTTTTTTTGTTGTTTTGTTTTTTCTGAGACGGAGTCTCGCTCTGTCGCCCAGGCTGGAGTGCAGTGGCATGATCTCGGCTCACTGCAAGCTCCACCTCCCAGGTTCATGCCATTCTCCTGCCTCAGCCTCCCGTGTAGCTGGGACTACAGGCGCCCGCCACCATGCCCGCCTAATTTTTTTTTGTATTTTTTTTTTTTTTTTTTTTTTGAGATGGAGTCTTGCTGTGTCACCCAGGCTGGAGTGCAGTGGCCGGATCTCCGCTCACTGCAAGCTCCGCCTCCCAGGTTTACGCCATTCTCCTGCCTCAGCCTCCCGAGTACCTGGGACTACAGGCGCCCGCCACCTCGCCCGGCTAGTTTTTTGTATTTTTTTAGTAGAGATGGGGTTTCACCGTGTTAGCCAGGATGGTCTTGATCTCCTGACCTCGTGATCCGCCCGTCTCGGCCTCCCAAAGTGCTGGGATTATAGGCTTGAGCCACCGCGCCCGGCCTTTTTTTTGTATTTTTAATAGAGATGGGGTTTCACTGTGTTACCCAGGATGGTCTCGATCTCCTGATCTCGTGATCCGCCCACCTTGGCCTCCCAAAGTGCTGGAATTACAGGCTTGAGCCACCGCACCCCACCTTAAAAAATTTTTTTTTAAATAGAGACAGGGTCTCCCTATGTTGGCCAAGTTGATCCCAAACTTCTGGACTCAAGCGATCCTCCCAACTTGGCCTCCCAAAGTGCTGGAATGACAGGCATGTGCCACCACACCTGGCCCCCCCATCAGACTCTGAACCAGCTAAACGTCCACTAATCCTGGGAGCCAGTTCCTAAAATGAATCTCTTGCTGTGTATGCATATACACATTCTGTGGCTTCTGTTTCTCTAGAGAACCTGAACTAATACACTCCCTGACCCAGCCGCTCCACTCACAGGTGTATGCCCAATAAAGCTGAAAACAGGCCAGTGATGACAGGTGGCCTCCACCTGTCATCCCAGCACTTTGGGAGCCAAGGTGGGAGGCTGTTTTGAGCCCAGCAGTTCGAGACCAACCTGGGCAACGCCAGCAAGACGCTATCCCCGCAAAAATACAAAAATTAGTTGGGCCTGGTGGCAGGTGCCTGTAATTCCAGCTACTTGAGAGGCTGAGGCAGGTGGAGTGCTTGAGCCTGGGAGGTTGAGGCTGCAATGACCATGATCGTCGCTCCATGGGCATTCCAGCCTGGGTGACACACCCAGACCCTGTCAGAAAAGGAAAGGAAAAGGAAAAGAAAGGAAGGGGAAGGAAAGAAGGAAGGAAGGAAGGAAGGAAGAAGGAAGGAAGGAAGGGAAGGAGGGAGGAAGGGAGGAGGGAGGAGGGAGGGAAGGGAAGGGAAGGGAAAGGACTTCATATGATATGATTCAATTTCTACAAAATGTGCAGAATAGGCAAATCATTGAGACAGAAAGCAGATGAATGGTTGCTGGGGGCCGGCAGCAGGGGCTGCTTAACGGAGACAGACCTTCTGTTTCAGCTGATAAAAAACCTCTGGAACTCGATAGAGGTGACAGTTGCACAGCATTGTAAACGTGTTAAATGACAGTAAGGGTAAATATTTTGAATATTTACCACAATGAAACAAGTTATGGGAAGCTTTGTAGCAGGAGTGTGGGCGGGGGCTGGTGCCTGAAGGGACATCAAATGAGGCAGCAGTGTATGGGGACCATGTGGTCACTGAAGTCCTAGCAGAAGGAATTTTTTTTTTTTTTTTTTTTTTGAGACGGAGTCTCGGTCTGTCACCAGGCTGGAGTGCAGCGGTGCAATCTCAGCTCACTCCAACTAAGGAAGGAGACCACTACTACTCCTGCTGCCCTCCTCCCCCGACCTTGCCTAGTTCACAAGACAGGAGGAAAGAGAGAGAGAAACAAAGTAAGATAAAATAGCCAGACAACCTTGGCACGCCACCCGGCCCTAGGAGTTAAAAAAAGTAATAATAATAACATCAACCCCTGGCCTAAACTACGTGTGTTATCTGTAAATCCCAGACACTGTATGAAAAAAAAAGCATTGTAAAACTTTTTGTTCTGTTAGCTGATGCATGTAGGCCCCAGTCACGTTTCCCACGCTTGCTCAATTTATCACGACCCTTTCACGTGGACCCCCTAAAGTTGTAAGCCTTTAAAAAGACCAAGTATTTCTTTTTCGGGGAGCTTGGCTCTTAAGACGCAAGTCTGCCATGTGCGGTGGCTCACGCCTGTAATCCCAGCACTTTGGGAGTCCGAGGCGGGTGGATCACAAGGTCAGGAGATCGAGACCATCCTGGCTAACACGGTGAAACCCCGTCTCTACTAAAAATACAAAAAAAAATTAGGCAGGCATGGTGGTGGGCGCCTGTAGTCCCAGCTACACGGGAGGCTGAGGCAGGAGAACGGTGTGAACCCGGGAAGCGGAGCTTGCAGTGAGCCGAGATCGCGCCACTGCACTCCAGCCTGGGCGACAGAGCAAGACTCCATCTCAAAGAAAAAAAAAAAAAAAAAAAGATGCGAGTCGGCTGACGTTCCGGGCCAAATAAAAAACCTCTTCCTTCTTTAATCTGGTGTCTTGAGGAGTTTTGTCTGCGGCTTGTCCTGCTACATTTCTTGGTTCCCTGACCGGGAAGCGAGGTGATTAAAGGACGGTCGAGGCAGCCCCTTAGGCAGCTTATGCCTGCCCTGTAGAGCATCCCTGCGGGGGACTCTGGCCAGCTTGAGCGATGCGGATCCTGAGAGCACTCCCGGGTAGGCATTTGCCCCGGTGGAGGCATTTACCTCTTCAGAGCAGTGCACAGCAGGCCCCTGTGGAGGATCAACACAGTGGCTGAACACCAGGAAGGAACTGGCCCTTTAAGTCCGGACATCTGAAACTTGGTAAGACTGGTCTTTGGAACTCGCCCCACTCCATTTGAGTGGAAGCGTGGCCTGATCACCCACCGCATGCCTGTACCGGCACTTTGGTTTTTGTTTTGACTTGACTTAATTGCTTGATACTTTGTTTTTTGTTTTTGACTTGACTTGAATTAATTGCCTGATACTTTGGTTTTAGTTTTGATTTTGACTTGACTTGAATTGCTTGATAAACAGGCGTGCCTTTATTGGCACTTCGGTTTTGGTTCTGATTTTGACTTGGCTTAAATTGCTTGACGAACAGGTGTGCCTTTAACAACACTTGGTTTTAGCTTTGATTTTGATTTAGTGTGAATTAGATGAGTAAATGACCTTTTACCCTTTCCTTCTTGTAGTGTGAATGTTGTTTTGTCTCAAGAGAAAAATAGGTCGGACACAAAGTAAGCCCACTCGGCTAGGAACTGTGTTAAAACATTTCAAAAAGAAAAAAGGAAAGTCATCAAATCATCAAAACTTACTCTATTAAAATGCATGTTACAGAACCTTAAGAAAGGTTTTGGCCGGGCGCGGTGGCTCAAGCCTGTAATCCCAGCACTCTGGGAGGCCGAGGCGGGCGGATCACGAGGTCAGGAGATCGAGACCATCCTGGCTAACACGGTGAAACCCCGTCTCTACTAAAAAAAATACAAAAAAAAACTAGCCGGGCGAGGTGGCGGGCGCCTGTAGTCCCAGCTATTCGGGAGGCTGAGGCAGGAGAATGGCGTAAACCCGGGAGGCGGAGCTTGCAGTGAGCTGAGATCCGGCCACTGCACTCCAGCCCGGGCGACAGAGCGAGACTCCATCTCAAAAAAAAAAAAAAAAAAAAAAAAGAAAGGTTTTGCAGGAGATTATAGAGTTAAGTTAACCCCTTAGAGGTTATGATCTGTGTGAATTAGAACTGCCCGGCCGGGCGCGGTGGCTTAAGCCTGTAATCCCAGCACTTTGGGAGGCCGAGGCAGGCGGATCACAAGGTCAGGAGATCGAGACCACAGTGAAACCCCGTCTCTACTAAAAATACAAAAAATTAGCCGGGCGCGGTGGCGGGCGCCTGTAGTCCTAGCTACTCAGGAGGCTGAGGCAGGAGAATGGCGTGAACCCAGGAGGCGGAGCTTGCAGTGAGCCGAGATCGTGCCACTGCACTCCAGCCTGGGCAACAGCGTGAGACTCCGTCTCAAAAAAAAAAAAAAAAAAAGAACTGCCCTCTTTTGGTGTTCGATGGCCCTTCGAAGGAACTATAGACAAGGAACAATTGGCCATGTATTTAAGGTGGTGACAGGGTCGGAGGACAGCCAGTGTACCTAGATCAAGTTCCTTTTGTATTGACTCATGGTTAAATATAACAGACAAAACCAGCATAAATTTAGCCCTGTTTAACAGCTTATTGCAAAAAAGCCAAAAGTAAAAGTAAGAGCAGCTTCACCAGCAGACACAGAGTTTAAAAACGGAGTCCCAAGAAACAGCAAGAGAAGCCAGTTTTGCAGGAGCCGCCAGAGATCATAGAAATTCTTTCTCCATATGTCCCAGCCTACTGCCCCGCTTTACCAAGGCAAACAACCCCCTCAGAAACGAGATTCAGGAGCTAACACGCCCCAGGTCTCACCTCGAAGGGGAGGATCGGAGCCTCGAGAGGCCAAGGAAGGAAGTCAAGATAGCCAAGTGGGCCGTCTCAGATCTGGTCTTGCTCAAGCTATGCAAATGCCTCTCAGGGAGATGTGAGGACCTGTCTATTATAATGACCAGGCCCACATCCGTGGGAGCAACAGACTTTCATCTATCAGCCCCTTTCAACCATTGATCTACTAAACTGGAAACACCCTGAACCCACCACCTTGCTCCCGACAGCTAGAGCCCTGTCGAGCATGACTGTGTAGAGGTGTTGGACTCAAGTTTACTCTAGCAGACCTGACCTCCGGGACCAGTCTTGGGCATCAGTAGACTAGGAGCTATTCGTGGACGGGAACAGCTTCATCAACCCACAAGGAAAGAGATGTGCAGAATATGCGGTGGTAACCCTGGACACTGTCGTTAAGCTGAGCTCATTGCTTTAATTCGGGCCTTAGAACTCAGTAAAGGTAAGACTGTAAACACTGACACTGACTCTCAGTATGCCTGTTTCACCCTCCAAGTGCATGGAGAATAATAAAGAAAAGAGCCTGTTAAACTGTAGGAAAAAGGGGGAAAAAACACCCAGAGAATGCAACTCGGCATCAGCGTTCGCAGAGGTACTGAGAAGCACTTCTGCAGAGGCTAAGAGTTGGTAGAAAAAAGCAAGTAATAAAAAAAAAAATTCCAGGAATGCTTTGAGGAGCTGACAAGAGCCTAACTCAGTTTTATAAGAGACTCTATAAAGCATTCTGGCTTTACACCCCATTTAACCCTAAGGCTGCTGAAAATCAGTATATAGTGAATACTTCATTTGTAAAGCAAGCCCAGGGTAACATCAAGCAGAAGCTGCAGGCATGAATATCATCCAGTCTATAAAAGTGGCCACCAAGGTGTATGTTGACTGTGACCAAGGAACAAAACTGGGAAAGAGCAAAAGAAAAAGAAAGACTAAGAGTAAGTGTAATAAAAGAGAAAGTAGCAATGTGAGAGGGACGTGGACGTGGATGTAGATATGAAAGAAGTCAAGTTAGGCAAGGATTCAAGAGCCGGACAGGCTGGAGAGAGATTAATGTGCGAGATGCAAAAAGAAAAGACACTAGAAGGGTAAATGTTCAAAAAGGCAATAAAGGAAATGGCCAAGGCGGCAAGACAAAGAGGCCATCTGCCAAGGGCTGCCGCACCTTGGAGGAACCAAATACTGATCTGATCAGACTGACAGGAGCTGAAGAATGTAAAGACTAGGGCAGACTACGCCCTTCTCATGAGGCTCCCAGGAGCCCATGGTCACATTAGAAGTTAAAAGCAGCAAGATTCTGCCGTATCTGGATTCCAATTTCTCACTGAAGGCTGAGCCACTAAATACAGTTACAAAGGGGGGGCGGGGGGAGAAGAACCCCTCCTCTAAGAAACTTAGACAGTAAAAAGAGCCATACCTTGTGAAAACTTGCTTATGGACTTTACAGAACTGCCCCGTGCTGGAGGCTATCGGTACATACTAGTGCTTGTTTGCTCATTTAAAATAAAATCAGGTTTTTGCCTATGGTCCTTCTCCGAGTCAGCTGCACCCCCACCAAACAAACTAGGTATTTGCCCTATAAGATTTTGTTCGGTCGGTCACCCTCAAATCATAGGTCAAATTAAAGGTGACCTCCAGAAACTAAAGAAATTAACCTTAAGAAAGCAAATGCAGGTTTTTCGGTTTGTTTTTGTTTTCTGAGACAGAGTCTCACTCTGTCGCCCAGGCTGGAGTGCAGTGGGGCAATCTTGGCTCACTGTAACCTCTGCCACCAAGGTTCAAAGCAATTTTCCTGCCTCAGCCTCCTGAGTAGCTGGGATTACAGGTGCCTGCCACCACACCCAGCTAATTTTTGTAGTTTTAGTAGAGACGGAGTTTCACCATGTTGGCCAGGCTAGTCTTGAACTCCTGACCTAGAGATCCACCCGCCTTGGCCTCCCGAAGTGCTGGGATTACAGGCGTGAGCCACCACGCCCAGCCGCAAATGCAGGTTTTAAAAATAGCCATACAGTGGGCCGGGCGCTGTGGCTCAAGCCTGTAATCCCAGCACTTTGGGAGGCCGAGACGGGCGGATCACGAGGTCGGGAGATCGAGACCATCCTGGCTAACACGGTGAAACCCCGTCTCTACTAAAAAAATACAAAAAACTAGCCGGGCGAGGTGGTGGGCGCCTGTAGTCCCAGCTACTCGGGAGGCTGAGGCAGGAGAATGGCGTGAACCCGGGAGGCGGAGCTTGCAGTGAGCTGAGATCCAGCCACTGCACTCCAGCCTGGGTGACAGAGCGAGACTCCGTCTCAAAAAAAAAAAAAAAAAAAAAAGCCATACAAAGTGTTCATAATTAAATACATGAAAATGCCTATAAGCCTGACACCCTTTTAAATCTAGTGACTCTGTTTACAGTAAAATCTAATTTTTCTTTTTTTTTTTTTTTTTGAGACGGAGTCTTGCTCTGTCGCCGAGACTGGAGTGCAGTGGCCGGATCTCGGCTCACTGCAAGCTCCGCCTCCCGGGTTTACGCCATTCTCCTGCCTCAGCCTCCCGAGTAGCTGGGACTACAGGCACCCGCCACCTCGCCCGGCTATTTTTTTTTTTGTATTTTTTACTAGAGACGGGGTTTCACCGTGTTAGCCAGGATGCTCTCGATCTCCTGACCTCGTGATCCGCCCGTCTCGGCCTCCCAAAGTGCTGGGATTACAGGCTTGAGCCACCGCGCCCGGCCAAAATCTAATTTTTCTAGGACCCATATAGGATGGGCCCTATACTGTAACCTTGTCCACTCCCACTGCTGTTAACCTTGCAGGTGTTGTGTCTTGGATCCACCACAGTCAGTTAACACCGGCAGCTCAGGACAAGTGCACCAGCCAGCAGGATGCAGATCATCCAACCCGGTTGATCCTGAGACGAGACCAAGCTGCTGCTGAGGATGATAGCCCTGTTCTGGTCACTCCGGAGGCTGACCAGTCTACATACGGCTGCAGCTTGAGGAGACAACAAGCCCTGCTCTAGTCACACACCGGCAGCTGACTAGTCTATGCACGACCGAAGCTTGAGGACTCATCAAACAAGTAAATGTAGTTAAAAATCTTAATAGTTTTCCTGCAATACTGCTTTCCTATTGTTCTGTCACTGTATTCAACCTTTTTCCCAGGTAAGGACCTCTTTTGTCCTTGCTGGATATGAATATGCTGTACATGGTTTTGTTGTTGTTACCCCCCATAACCATGCTAGAAGAAACACCTAGATGAGGTGTCCCCACTGTACACGTACCACTTAGGAAACCCAGACCTGTTCAGCCCAGCACAATTCCGAGTCTTGCAGTCATTCTTTAAACATACAAACCAGAAGTTACCAGAACCTCCTCCTTTAGCAAAACCAGAAAAAACCTATTTGCTCAGTTGGCTGAAAACATTGCTGGCAGCCTAGATGTTTCTTCATGTTATGTTTATAAAAAGGCTAACATAAGAGACCGGCCGGGTGCGGTGGCTCACGCCTGTAATCCCAGTGCTTTGGGAGGCCAAGGTGGGCGGATCACAAGGTCAGGAGTTTGAAACCAGCCTGGCTAACATGGCGAAACCCCATCTCTACTAGAAGTAGAAAATATTAGCTGGGCGTGGTGGCAGGTGCCTGTAATCCCAGCTACTCAGGAGGCTGAGGCAGGAGAATCACCTGAACCTGGGAGGTGGACTTTGCAGTGAGCCGAGACCATACCACTGCACTCCAGCCTGGGCAACAGAGTGAGACTCCATCTCAAAAAAAAAAAAAAATTAAAAAAGTAAGAGACCAATGGCCTTGAGAAGCAAAAGAGTGAATGCCTCAGGATAACTTTACTTTAACTCTTTCCCCAAACAGATGCTCCAAGTTCAAGCATCTGGCTCTGAAAAACTTCTGTTATTAAAAAAATACTGTTACTCGCTAAGAAAAAGCTTTTAAGACCCAGTGACAAAACTAACCTGCTTAGAACATGACAAAGTTGATACATGTCCCTGTACAGGTTTAACACAGGTTTGATCCTAGGTCTTCGCTTACAAAATAGTTTCCAGCTATAAAAATTTAAAACCCTCATTGTAAGTATATTACTGGTAATAGAAAGTTGCTTGCTGCCCCCCTGTGTATTACACTTGTTCTTTCAAATAAAAGGTTTTGTAGCTACCATGGTTCATCAGAAAACTTCAGCACAAGTGTATTACATAAAACACTATTGGCCGGGCGCGGTGGCTCAAGCCTGTAATCCCAGCACTTCGGGAGGCCAAGACGGGCGGATCACGAGGTCAGCAGATCGAGACCATCCTGGCTAACCCGGTGAAACCCCGTCTCTACTAAAAAATACAAAAAACTAGCCGGGTGAGGTGGCGGGCGCCTGTAGTCCCAGCTACTCGGGAGGCTGAGGCAGGAGAATGGCGTAAACCCGGGAGGCGGAGCTTGCAGTGAACTGAGATCCGGCCACTGCACTCCAGCCTGGGCGACATAGCGAGACTCCGTCTCAAAAAAAAAAAAAAAAAAAAAAAAAAAAAAAAACTATCGCTCTGTCTCGCAAAGAGACTCAGAAAGTAAAAATAAAAGTGAGAACTCCCACTAATTAGTGAAAATGCTCAAGGCGGGGGATAAGGAAGGAGACCACTACTACTCCTGCTGCCCTCCTCCCCCCACCTTGCCTAGTTCACAAGACAGGAGGAAAGAGAGAAAGAAACAAAAGTAAGATAAATAGCCAGACAACTTTGGCACCACCACCCAGCCCTAGGAGTTAAAAAAAAAAAAAAGTAATAATAATAACATCAACCCCTGGCCTAAACTACTTGTGTTATCTGTAAATCCTAGACACTGTATGAAAAAAAAAAGCATTGTAAAACTTTTTGTTCTGTTAGCTGATGCACGTAGCCCCCAGTCACGTTTCCCACACTTGCTCGATTTATCACGACCCTTTCACGTGGACCCCTTAAAGTCGTAAGCCTTTAAAAAGGCCAAGTATTTCTTTTTCCGGGAGCTTGGCTCTTAAGACGCGAGTCTGCTGACGCTCCCAGCTGTATAAAAAACCTCTTCCTTCTTTAATCCGGTGTCTGAGGAGTTTTGTCTGTGGCTCATCCTGCTACACAACCTCCACCTCCTGGGTTCAAGCAATTCTCCTGACTCAGCCTCCAGAGCAGCTGGGACTACAGGTGCTCCACCACACCCAGTTAATTTTTTTTTTTTTTTTTTGAGAGGGAGTCTGGCTCCCAGGCTGGAGCGCGGTGGTGGCACGATCTCTGCTCACTGCAAGCTCCACCGCCTGAGTTCACCCCATTCTTCTGCTTCAGCCTCCTGAGTAGCTGGGACTACAGGCGCCCGCCACCACGACGGGCTAATTTTTTGTATTTTTAGTAGAGATGGGGTTTCACGGTGTTAGCCAGGATGGTGTCGATCATCCTGACCTCGTGATCCGCCCGCCTTGGCCTCCCAAAGTGCTGGGATTACAGGCGTTAGCCACCGCGCCCGGTCTAATATTTGTATTATTAGTAGAGACGGGGGTGTCACCGTGTTAGCCAGTCTGGTCTCGAACTCCTGACCTCGTGATCCGCCCGCCTCTGCCTCCCAGCGTCCTGGGATTACAGGCGTGACTCACTGCGCCCGGCCAGCAGAAGGATATTAAAGAGCACCTGCAGGACCTTTCTAACGGGATGTCGGGGGAAGGGCTTGAAGGAGGAACTAGGGAGGCTTCCATAAGATTTTGATTAACAGCCAGCGCTAGGGAAGGTCACAGGGATACAAAAGGGTAGGAGGAGGATCCAGAGACCTCCAAGTTGTGGACTTCGAAGGCATCCGGTTCCTTTCCCAGCTTTGTCAAGAATTCCCTGGGCGGCGGACACCCTCAAAATAAAAAAAACGGGAACCACAGAGAAGGGGAAAAAGAAGAACCACAAGCGTTTTGAGAAACAAACAGAGGCTGGGCCTAGGGCCTGGGGTGTGCCCTGCAACTGGGGGGGGTGGGGCTGGATGTTCTTGGAGTCAGGGAGCAGCAGCCTCCCACAGGATGTGAGAGAGGAACTGGGGTCTCCAGTCACGGGAGCCAGGAGCCGGCCAGGGCCGCAGGCAGGAAGGGAGCGAGGCTGAAGGGAACGTGAGCCGACCAGGCCCCGATTGAGGGAGGAGGGAAGGGCCTGGACCCCTGGGCCTGAGGGAGGAGGGGCTGGGGGTCTGGACAGTGCGTCTGAGGGAGGAGGGGCTGGGGGTGTCGACACTGGTTCTGAGGGAGGAGGGGCTGGGGGCCTGGACGCCTGGGACGGAGGGAGGAGGCACTGGGGGTCTGGACACTGGGTCCGAGGGAGGAGGGGTTGGGGGCCCGGACTCCTCGGTCGGAGGGTGGAGGGCTGGTGGCCCGGACTCCTGGGTCCGAGGGAGGAAGGGTTGGGGGCCCGGACTCCTCGGTCGGAGGGTGGAGGGGCTGGGGGCCCGGACTCCTCGGTCGGAGGGTGGAGGGGCTGGGGGCCCGGACTCCTCGGTCGGAGGGTGGAGGGGTTGGGGGCCCGGACTTCTCGGTCGGAGGGTGGAGGGGTTGGGGGCCCGGACTCCTGGGTCCGAGGGAGGAGGGGCTGGGGCCTGAGGGGGACGGAAGGGGCGTGGCCGAGCTCGGGGCCGGGACTCTCAGCCTATCAAGTTTCTGTAATTAATTAACTGAGATCCAGTTCAGGGGTGAAAGTTCTTCAGGTAGGAGGAGGGCATTGTTGTCAGTCTGGACCGAGCCCGCAGAGCCCCTCCTCGGCGTCCTGGTCCCGGCCCTGCCCTTGGTACCCCGGGAGGAAGGGGCGGGCCGGGGGTCGGGAGGAGTCACGTGCCCCCTCCCGCCCCAGGTCGTCCTCTCAGCATGAGGGTCCCGCGGCCTCAGCCCTGGGCGCTGGGGCTCCTGCTCTTTCTCCTGCCCGGGAGCCTGGGCGCAGGTGAGGGCCGCTGCGGGCCGGGGCCCTGCTGCAGGCGGGCGGTGGGAGGCGGCCCCAGGCAGGCAGGGGCGAAGCCAGCGGGACCCGAGTTCCCCGCGAGTCCCGGGCGCTGCCTTCTCCGCTCAGTTCACTTTCTCAGCGTCTCCTGCTGGGCCTGAGGCTGAGAACCACCTGTCGCTTCTGTGTCTCTGTTTCCCTCTCTCTCTCTCTGGGCCTCTGTCTGGGTGTCTGTCCCTTTCTCTCTCTCTCTCTCTCTGGGTCTCTGTTTCTCTCCCTGGGTCTCTGTCCCTGTCTTTCTGTCTCTCTGGGTCTCTGTCCCTCTCTCTTTGTCTGGGCCTCTGTCTCTGGGTCTCTCTCTCTCTGTGTGTCTCTGTCCTTCTCTCTCTGTCTCTCTCTGGGTCTCTGTCCCCCCCCCCCGGTCTCTGTCCTTCTCTCTCTCTCTCTCTCTCTGGGTCTCTGTCTCTCTCTCTCTGGGTCTCTGTCTCTCTCTCTCTCTGGGTCTCTGTCTCTCTCTCTCTGGGTCTCTGTCTCTGTCTCCCTCTCTCTCTCTGGGTCTCTGTCCCCTCCCTCTGAATCTTCCCTCTCCATAATGGATTCTTCTCCCTCCCTGGATATCTGTCCCACTGCAATCTAGTTCCCCGCCCATGTTCTCCCTTCAGCTCTGTCTCTGTCTGCAGAAAGCCACCTCTCCCTCCTGTACCACCTCACCGCGGTGTCCTCGCCTGCCCCGGGGACGCCTGCCTTCTGGGTGTCCGGCTGGCTGGGCCCGCAGCAGTACCTGAGCTACGACAGCCTGAGGGGCCAGGCGGAGCCCTGTGGAGCTTGGGTCTGGGAAAACCAAGTGTCCTGGTATTGGGAGAAAGAGACCACAGATCTGAGGATCAAGGAGAAGCTCTTTCTGGAAGCTTTCAAAGCTTTGGGGGGAAAAGGTGAGATTCGAATCCGGAGGGGCAAGGGGCTGGGTCCATGCTCCTGGGCCCCACTTACATGTGTGTGGGCGCCCCAGGCCCCTACACTCTGCAGGGCCTGCTGGGCTGTGAACTGAGCCCTGACAACACCTCGGTGCCCACCGCCAAGTTCGCCCTGAACGGCGAGGAGTTCATGAATTTCGACCTCAAGCAGGGCACCTGGGGTGGGGACTGGCCCGAGGCCCTGGCTATCAGTCAGCGGTGGCAGCAGCAGGACAAGGCGGCCAACAAGGAGCTCACCTTCCTGCTATTCTCTTGCCCACACCGGCTGCGGGAGCACCTGGAGAGAGGCCGTGGAAACCTGGAGTGGAAGGGTGAGCCGGATCTGCAGCCACAGGCTGTTCTGTCCTCTCTGCCATCACGCCCACCTGCCTCAGTTCCCCTGTCAGGACCCTCAGTCAGCCTCCCACTGCAGCCCACGCTCTGCCCCCATTCCTCAGGGGTTTTTCTACATTCAGCCCTCCCATGGCTCCCCAGCGCCCCCCAAGACAAACTCTTGGCTTCCTTGCCTTTTTTTGTTGAGACGAAGTTTCACTCTTGTTGCCCAGGCTGGAGTGCAATGGTGTGATCTCGGCTCACTGTAACCTCCGCCTCCCGGGTTCAAGTGATTCTCCTGCCTCAGCCTCCCTAGTAACTGGATTACAGGCATGCATCACCATGCCTGGCTAATTTTGTATTTTTAGTAGAGGCGGGGTTTCTTCATGCTGGTCAGGCTGGTCTCAAATTCCCAACCGCAGGTGATCCGCCCGTCTCAGCCTCCCAAAGTGCTGGGATTACAAGCGTGAGCCATCGCACCTGGCTGTCTTTTTTTTTTTTTTTTTTTTTTTTGAGACAGATTCTCTGTCACCCCAGGCTGGAGTGTGGTGGCACAATCTCAGCTCACTGCAGCCTGAACCTCCCAGGCTCAAGCAATCCTCCCACGTCAGCCTCCCAAGTAGCTGCGACCACAGCATCGTCACACCTGGCTGACTTTAATTTTTATAGACACAGTGTCTCACTACGTTGCCCAGGCTGGTCTTGAACTCCTAGGCTCAAGCAGTCTTACTGCTTTGGCCTCCTGAATAGCTGAGATTACAGGTGCATACCACCATAACTGGCTAATTTTTTTTTTAGTTTTCCGCACAGTCTGCCTCCCAGGCTAGTGTGCAGCAGCGTGATCTCAGCTCGCTGCACACTCTGCCTCCTGGGTTTAAGCGATTCTCCTGCTGCAGCCTCATGAGTAGCTGGCACTACAGGCACATCCACCATCTCTGGCTAATTTTTGTAGTTTTAGTAGAGACAGGGTTTCGTCATGTTAGCTAGGCTGGTCTCAAACTCTTGACCTCAAGTGATCCACTCACCTCAGCCTCCCAAAGTGGTGGGATTACAGGCGTGAGCCACCGCATTTGACCATAACTGGCTAATTTTTAAAATTTGTTGTAGAGATGGCATCTCGCTGTGCTGCCCAGGCCAGACTCAAACTCCTGGCCTCAAGTGATTCTCCCACTTTGGCCTCTCAGGGTGCTGGGATGACAGGTGTGAACCACTGTGCTTGGCCTTCCTTGCCTTAATGCCCTCGTCAGACCCACGCAGCAGCACTTGTCTCTACACAGCTGTCAGAGTCTAGGCTCCAGCCACCCAACATGAGCAATCTTCTCCCTCTGAGCATTTGTTCATCCAGTTCCCCCGGCCCCTCTCTGTTCCACCCTTCCCCCTCTCTGCATATACTCCAGCCCTCCTTATTCTTCAAGGTCGGGGCTGGATATCACTTCCTCTGAGAAGCCTTCTCTCAGCTCTGTAGGGCAGAGTTCACTGTTTCCTCCCCAGCGGCCCCAGATCCCCATTCATTCAGCTGTTGGCCAAGAGCATTTGCACTGCCAGACGCCGCTCTGGGACGCCGCTCTGGGCCTTGAGCAAAGAGGGAAGTGACACACGTTCACCCTCTGTGGCTTCCAGGCTGCTGGACAAAGATAGATATCGGCTGGGGATTTGCACAGATGTTCATTCCAAGTGCCACAAAGGAGAAGTTGAGACTTAACCAGGTAGTTTTTCTTTGATCGTCTTCTTTCTTTTTTAAGTAGGGAAAATTTCCTTTTTTTTGAGATGGAGTCTCGCTCTTGTCGCCCAGGCTGGAGTGCAATGGCGCAATCTCGGCTCACTGCAACCTCCGCCTCCCAGCTTCAAGTGATTTCTGCCTCAGCCTCCCGAGTTGCTGGGACTACAGGCACGTACCACCATACCTGGCTAATTTTTGTATTTTTTTTTAGTAGAGACAGGGTTTCACCATGTTGGCCGGGATGGTCTTGATCTCTTGACCTTGTCATCCGCCTGCCTCGGCTTCCCAAAGTGCTGGGATTACAGACATGAGCCACTGTGCCCGGCCTTTTTTTTTTTTTTTTTGAGACAGACTTTTGCATTGTTGCCCAGGCTGCAGTGCAGTGGCACAGTCTTGGCTCACTGCAACCTCCACCTCCCAGGGTCAAGCAATTCTCCTACCTCAGCCTCCCGAGTAGCTGGGAATACGGGCACGCACCACCCTGCCTGGCTAACTTTTGTATTTTTAGTAGAGACGGGTTTCACCATGCTGGCCAGGCTGGTCTCGAACACCTGATCTCGTGATCCGCCCACCTTGGCCTCCCAAAGTGCTGGGATTATAGGCGTGAGCCACCACACCTGGCCTAAGTAGGGAAAGTTTCAAACCACACTTAAGTAGACACAATAGTATAAAAAGGACCAGGCATGGTGGCTCATGCCTGTAATCACAGCATTTTGGGAGGCCAAGGCAGGTGGATTGCTTCATCCCAGGAGTTCAAGACCAGCCTGGGCAACATAGCAAGACCTCATCTCTACTAAAAACTCAAAAAATTAGCCTGGCATGGTGGTATGTGCCTCTAGTCCCAGCCACTGGGGAGGCTATGGTGGGAGGATCACTTGAGCTCAGGAGTTTGAGGCAGTAGTGAACTGTGATTGCAATCCTGCACTCCAGCCCAGACTACAGAGCCAGACCCTGTCTCAAAAAGAAAAAAAATATGATGGCCAGACGCGGTGGCTCATGCCTGAATTCCAACACTTTGGGAGGCTGAGGTGGGCAGATCACTTAACAGGAGTTTGAGATAAGCCTGGCCGACATAGTGAAACCCCATCTCTACTAAAAATACAAAAATTAGCCAGGTGCGGTGGTGGGCGCTTGTAATCCCAGCTACCCTCCACTTCAAGTGATCCACCCTCCTTGGCCTCCCAAAGTGCAAGAGTCACGGTGCCCGGCCAGAGTGTTTTGTTGATAAGTACTTTAGTATGTAACTCTACTAGGTAAGGGCATGTAAAAAAAAATTAATACCAAAACCATTATCACACCTACGATCAATTAACTGTAACTCCTTAATGGCATCAGATGTCTAGTTTTTGTTCACATTTTCCTGACTGTAAATTTTTTTTTTTTTTTTTTTTGAGACAGTCTCTTTCTCTGTCACCCAGGCTGGAGTGCAGTGGCCGGATCTCAGCTCACTGCAAGCTCCGCCTCCCAGGTTTACGCCATTCTCCTGCCTCAGCCTCCTGAGTAGCTGAGACTACAGGCGCCTGTCACCTTGCCCGGCTAGTTTTTTGTATTTTTTAGTAGAGACGGGGTTTCACCGTGTTAGCCAGGATGGTCTCGATCTCCTGACCTCGTGATCTCCCCGTCTCGGCCTCCCAAAGTGCTGGGATTACAGGCGTGAGCCACGGCGCCCGGTCTGTAAATGTTTTTTAAAGTTTGAATCAGCATCCAGCAAGGTCCACACATTTTGTTGTCTTTTCAGTGTCTTTTTCTGATTGTTGAATTTTTCTTTCTTTCTTTTTTTTTTTTTTTTTTTGAGACGGAGTCTCGCTCTGTCGCCCAGGCTGGAGTGCAGTGGCGCAATCTCGGCTCACTACAAGCTCCGCCTCCTGGGTTCACGCCATTCTCCGGCCTCAGCCTCCCGAGTAGCTGGGACTACAGGCGCCCGCCACTGCGCCCGGCTAATTTTTTCTATTTTTAGTAGAGACGGGGTTTCACCATGGTCTCGATCTCCTGACCTTGTGATCCGCCCGCCTCGGCCTTCCAAAGTGCTGGGATTACAGGCGGGAGCCACCGCGCCCGGCCTTCTTTTTTTTTTTAAATTGAGACAGGGTCTTGCTCTGTTGCCAGACTGGAGTCCAGTGGTGCAATCATAGCTCACTGCAGCCGGAACCTCCTGAGCTCAAGTAATTCTCCCACTTGAGCCTCACCGGTAGCTAGGACCACAGGTGTACGCCATCAGGCCTAGCTATTTTTTTGTTTGTTTTTTGAGACGAAGTCTTACTCTGTCGCCCAGACTGGAGTGCAGAGGCACGATCTCGGCTCATTGCAACTTCTGCCTCCCGGGTCCAAGCAATTCTCCTGCCTCAGCCTCCCAAGTAGCTGGGATTACAGGCGCACACCACCATGCCTGGCTATTTTTTGTATCTTTAATAGAGACAGAGTTTCACCATGTTGGCCAGGCAGGTTTTGAACTCCCGACCCCAGGTGATCCACCTCCCTCGGCCTCCCAAAGTGTTGGGATTACAGGCATGAGCCACCACGCTCAGCCGTATTTTTTTTTTCTTTTTTTTTTTTGGAGACGGAGTCTCGCTCTCTCACCCAGGCTGGAGTGCAGGGGTGCCATCTCAGCTCACTGCAACCTCCACCTCCCGGGTTCAAGCGATTCTCCTGCCTCAGCCTCCTGAGTAGCTGGGATTACAGGCGCCTGCCACCACGCCTGGCTAATTTTTGTATTTTTAGTAGAGATTGGGTTTCACGTGTTAGCCAGGATGGTCTCGATCTCTTGACTCGTGATCCGCCCTCCTCGGCCTCCCAAAGTGCTGGAATTACAGGCATGAGCCACTGTGCCTGGCCATAATTTTTGTATTTTTAGTAGAGACAAGGTTTCACCATGTTGGTCAGGCTGGTCTTGAACTCCTGACCTCATGATCCGCCTACCTCGGCCTCCCAAAGTGCTGGGATTACAGGCGTGAGCTACTGTGCCCGGCTGGATTCCAATTTTTTATCAGATAGGTGTTTTGCAAATATTCCTTACACTCTCTAAGTTGTCTTTTCATTGTTTTAACTGTGCCTTTCAGAAAGAAAAAGTTTTTAACTTCGATAAAATAGTTTATTCTTTTTTTTTTTTTTAATCATGGGTTATGCTTTTGGTGTCTTATCTCAGAAGTAAGCACTAAACCCAAAATCAGCTAGATCTTCTCCTGTGTATTTTAAGAGTTTTAAAGTTTTGCATTTTATAGTTAGGTCTGTGATTCATTTTGAGGTAATTTGAGTTACTTGTGATCTTGAGTGTCTTTTGAT